CGCCGGAGCCGCGGAGGCAGCTTCCCCAACAATAAAGCCAGCAGCACGCACGTGGCCATCGCGTCGCGTCCTTCCTGACCCTTTCCCTCCTCTCCCCGCTCCGCCCTCCCCGAGACCCGCTGCTCCGGTGTTTGTGAGCGGTTCCCGGACTGGCCTCCCGCCCCCCATCCTCCCTCTCGCTGTTACACTGCTAGCATGATTTGTTACATTTTCCATAGCTGCTTATTCTTGTTTGACTCGGGGAACAAAGTCACTTTAAATCCTCGGCACAGTAGTTCGCTGCAATCAGGTCCTAAGCCTTGTATTTCACAGACAATTACATCTTGGCGGCTGTTGAACAAAAATGTAATATTTACTCTGCGCTACACCGAGGAGCACTTTTAAAGTCGCAAAACAAAATACTACATTTCAAAAAAGAAAATATGCTAATAAATCTCTTTTTATGGATTCTCTCTGCATAAATGGAAACAACGTGATTTAAATCCTCGGTACTCTGGCCCCCTCCGCCCCCCTCCCTCCTTTCAGGCACAGCTGAGGTTAGACAGATACTGCCTTTTAACACACGTTCTACATGTCTGGGGGGAGGCACCCACATTTGTTACATTCAATTTAGTTTCCAAACTATCACACCCACCCTGACCCACAGAGCCGCATGCAGCAAGGATTATGAATTCATTAGCTCTGGGATGTGAAGTCTGTTTTCACACGGATTCGGAAAAGATGGCATGACTTGGGCAATTAATTTATAACTTCATGTAACTTTCTAAATGGCTACCCATTTTCCTCTCCGGCGGGCTTCTGAAGGAGGTGGGAAAGTTGAGGCAAAGAAATAGTTTCATGAAACTCTGGGTACATATTAAAATATGTTTATTATTTAAAAATGCATAAAGTATGGGCCTGTATTTGTTTGCTGGTGATCATAAAATAAATTCATAGCCGTTCTTGCTAATTAGCAATCTTTTTTTATGCTTAAAAATTGTTTAAAAATAAATCCTCTTGGACTATATCTTTATTCTTCCAGATCACCCTCCTATTGAAATATTTGGTCCTCAATTTTATTTATAGTAAACCTCAGAGATGATGGTTTCCTAAAACTGTGCGATGACAAAGCCACAGAATAGTATTTCAAGTCCAGAAGTCATGCATACCCACGTACATCTCCCATAGAGTTTTCTAGCTGATGGCTTTAGTATTTCAAGAAATAGGAAACAGTAGCTAGAAAGGGTACCATTTCCTAAAAATTCTCTCTTTACAAAAAAAAACTTGGTCTGGCATATTATTCCATGCACAAATTATAATATTAGTTTCATGTGTGTTAATCTGTTTAGTATTAAAACTGCTAGAGTGTCTTAACCACTAACATGTTTTACTACACTGCTTTCAAATGGGTGATCTCAGATAATTATGAAGATTTTGATGTTAATCCCACATTAAGTGAACAACTATGAAAATAACCTTAGAGAATTATTATTCTTATATAAATGCCAGCAAATACAATTGTAGAGGGAACACGACTACTTTTTATCTGACATTATCCTATAAGGATATGGCTACATTTATTTCTTTTAAAATCGGGGCAGTTTTCAATTATTTTTTTAACAGATTTTTTTTCTTCAAAACAGCATTTGCAAAGCCTATAAAACCACAGCAACTTTTGTACTGACAGATACAGATTTTTCCTACATTGTTGTTAATTAGCCTCTTTGCAAACTCACTAAAATAGAATAATATACACAAATATCAAAATGTAGAGAATAATTATTAGGTCTACATATTTATTAAGCTAAACCAATGTTATTAAAATTAAAAACATGTGCTTGGCATATAAATGTTTCTTTAAGAATTCTTTTTTTTTGGATGCACAGTTATTATTCTTAAAGCCAACTGAGATTTTCAAGTCCTGATTTTCCACTCTAAACAGGCATTGCATTGTTTCAAACAGTAGCTCCTGGAGCAGTACCACCCTTAGTATTTTAGACTCCAAACAACAATTGGAATTGGATAAATGCTTTCAGCTGCGAGCACTTTCCTAATACCTTTGTAGGTAATAGGATTCCCTGTTTGTGCTGGGTGACAAATGGACAGTGCACTGGACAGACTGCCTACTCTTTGCAGAATCTACAAGCAATTGGAGTTTTCTGTAAGACTGCTTGGGGTTCATCTAAAAAAATCTGTTTCAGAGAATATATTCAGAGAAGATAAGCGAGTGCCTTTTCTAACTATATTTATGAAATGATGGCTTAAGAGAGGGATGTGAAATATAAGAGAGGAGGAATGTGGAGACCAAAAAAAAATGTGAAAAAGAAAGTTTTCTCAGGCAGGATCTGGCTCTTTGTCTATAAGTAGGAGAGTGATGAGTTGCAGCCACATCAGGGAATATATTTTTGTTGTTGTTGTTGTTTTCTTCGATTCAGTGATTTTAAAGTAGATTTTTCACCTGAGAAGCGCAATAAGAAAATATATGTGAATTCTTACATAGCTTCCTTGATTTTCAATATCGGGTCCACCATGCCATTGTTCTTTCTAAATGAATGAATGCAGTAACAGTTGGTGTTGAAAGTCTTGACTTTTTTCAAACTTGTGTTAAATTGGGATAACAAAGTACAGCATATATCCACAAGATGGCTTTCATAAACTCCAATTAGCTGAGAAACAAGTTGGGTTGGGGGGGAACTTTTTCAGGAAGAAGCTAGGCAACTGGTTAGGAATCTGGGAGAAATAAAGCAAGAAACTGGCCCCTTACATTCCCAGTAATTCTGCTTTTCCAACATGGTTAAGTTCTTTGCTTCCTGTGCTATTCAAGTAAAAATGTCAGCAATAAAATTACAGAATCTACTCAAGTGACTATTTTTGCTTTATCATAATATATCTGCTTTATGCCCTAACTGGTTTGGCTCAGTGGATAGAGCATCAGCCTGAGGACTCAAAGGTCCCAGGTTTGATTCCTGTCAAGGGCATGTACCTTGGTTGCGGGCACATCCCCAGTAGGGAGTATGCGGGAGGCAGATGATTGATGTTTCTCTCTCATCGATGTTTCTAACTCTCTATCCCTCTCCCTCTCTGTAAAAAATCAATAAAATATATTTTTAAAAAAGAAAAAATATATATCTGCTTTATTATAATATACATATATGTACATTATATTGGGGCTTTTGAAGGTGTAGTTATTTGTTGAATATTTCTTTTTTCAGATAGTGATATTTAATGAAGTGTTTATAAATATCAATCTAAAGGTTCATCAAAGATACAATAGTCATGGTAACAAGGGGCATTTGAACCTGTGTGGTGCGAGCTGCGCTCTGTAAGTTGTAAGTGCTTTTAAATCCATGACCTAGGTATTCGTAATGAGGACATCTGAGAAGAGAAACTCAAGGGTCCTCAATGAACACAGGCGAGGCCACCTCATCATATGGGGGAACTTGCCTTAGAATCATTTCTCTATTGAAAATGTCATCTCTCTCCCTAGCTGGTTTGGCTCAGTGGATAGAGTGTTGGCCTATGGACTGATGAGTCACAGGTTCGATTCCGGTCAAGGGCACATGCCTGGGTTTCGGGCTCAATCCCCTGTGGGGTGTGCAGGAGGCAGCTGATCAATGATTCTCTCTCCTCATTGATGTTTCTATCTCTCTCCCTCTACCTTCCTCTCTGAAATCAATTAAAAAAAAAAAGAAAAAAAAGAATATGCCATCTCTCAGTCTCCTCCCAAAACTTCTGCTAGCTGTATTTTACTAAAACGTCCCAGAATTAAGAGTGGCTGCAACTCACTGGGCTTTTCTCTCCTTAAATACCTTACTATTAGATGACTGAAGAGTTCACTCAGTTGTCCTTGCACTTTATGTGCTCCTTGTTAATTGCCTTAATATGTGGCAATAATTGGATCATGAACTGAATTTTTCTCATTGCCTTGGAGTTTTAATTTACAACCCCAGATTCATCTGAGTAAATAGTAAGCCAAATACATTTTATTGGATTATTAATTAGGCCCTGCTTCATGTCAGTAAGGGTTTAAAGTAGTTGTCTGAAGAATTAAGGTTTTTTTTTTTTCAAATTTGTTTGTAAAAAAAAAATTCCTGTAAATGTAATTTTGCAATTTATTTTGATGTTTATTACAAGATCAATGATGTCTTTTGGTAAAAATTTTTACCCCAAGATGAGGCAAAATCTCATTTAGAATGCGACAAATTTTTGAAGGTCATTTTGAGCATGTTGTAAAGACATTTTAATGATACACAGAAATGAAACTATTACGCATGGAAAGCGGCATAATATAGTGATTAAGGGCAAAGTCATTGGGGTCAAAGACACAGTTTTGCATCTTGACTACACTTATCAGCATGTGGTCTTGGGAAAATTATTTAACCATTTTCTGCTTCACTTACCACATCTGCGAAAGGTGGATGATAATTTTAGACTCTGTCACAGGGTATGATGACCACTTGGTGAGATGATTCACCCGAGGCTCCTAGGAGAAGGTCTGGCATAGAGTAGGTGCTCCGTAAGTACTAGCTCCTCTCTTCGGCATAGCTCTACCAGGTTAGGAGTGGCACACAGTGACCTTC